GACTATAGTTGGTGTGCAACAGAGATCAGAAAGATCGTAGTCGGTGAGCGACTATGGGCAGAAGGATTGTAGTCGGCAAGCTATGGAGGTCGAGCAAAAGTTTAATGTCAGTTGGCAGTTGGACATAAAAGTCCAACGATAATCAACGAAAGTTCGTTGGTCAGGGTGTCGGGGTAGAGCTTCAGCCTCAAAGCTCTTCTTTTCTTCCTCCAGTTCCTCTCCCCTTCATGAGAAGAATTGGGTTTATTTATAGTTTGTTGGTAGTGGTATGTTATGTAAATATAGAGAAGATCAACGACATGTTAGGATTGTTTCAATGAATTGTTCGTATTGATCCCTTTGATCATGGAGCATTTATCAATCATTTGTATGCCTAAATGTTATCATAATCAACCAATCTTGCGCTTATTGGATTTGCCTCGTCGAGTCGCTCGATTTGATTACAAGCTTGTTACATTTGGAAATCACTTGGTTGTCCAATTTATGGTTTCAACATTCTAAATGTGCTCCAGACATTTGATTTTGACCCATTTGGGCTCGGATAGGGTTGAATTTGGTGTTGTTGGATTCGTCTTCTTGAGACGTTGAATTTGATTATAAGTTTGATAAAATCAAAGTTCAAACGACTCTAGATTTAATTTTGAAAGTTTCTAACATGAATATACTTTGAGATTCGTGCATGATCAAAATAATTTCTTGTTGATATATCAGTTATTAAGTAAACTTTTATATGGTAAATCATTATAAATTATGAAAGATCATATCTCAAAACAATATAATCTGAACTAAAAATTAACTTAAATTTATTTCACACTTTTTTTAATTGAGCTCGTCTATTGCAATCGATAGGTTAACACTATTTAAGTCATGCATGACGTGCCGATTTGAGCTTGTTTCAAGTCAATAATCGATTCAAGTCAATAATAAATTTTAGTAAAATAATGTAAATTTGAGCTTCATTTGAGCAAATAATCTATTTATTTATAAACAATTTCCTGATATAAGATAAAGAATAGAAGACCATCATGAATTATTCATCTAGATTCATATAAATCAAAAGTGTGTCATGAGATATAAAAATTTTGGTTATAATGGTTTTAAAACCCTCAAATTTAGGCTTCGTTTGGTCATTCACTATTTTTGTAAAAGGTAGTTTTAAGAAACATTGGTTCATAAAAATGTGTTTTATAATGGAGAAAGCACATATAAAAAGCACTCTCAAAATAGCAGAAAATGGAAAAAATGGTGTTATTGAGAACATGGTTTGACGAACCAAACATTAAAGAAGAAATAACTTTACCGTTTTAAAAAGGAATAAGCATAAAAAACGCACAATCAATTGAATCAAACTAGGCCTTATTTTGAGGTGAATACATTATATGAATATCAGTCAATTTTTATATAGTATTCATCTAAAAAAAAAAAACCTTGTCCAACATTAATTAAGAATAGCCTAAAACTTCTATCATTCTATGGCCTATAAGAATACTAGCTCAAATGAGCTAGCCCCAGTATGCATGGGCACAAGGTTGAATCAAGGTTTAGTCTGACCTAACTCATCGTGTCAATTGCAAAGCAATTAACCTAAATTGAGAATCAATTGATTAAGCTTAAGCTCATGTGCGATTGATTTAGGTAAATTAGTTATTCAAACAACTCTAAAATTCATTTTCCCATCAACTATTCTTACTTTAACTCGAGATACTCAAAATGCATCCAATGTGGCTTAAACCTAAAATTAAGAATTTCCATGATTCCTAAAAACTTTGTCTAAATAGAACCCATTTAGCCTAGTGACCCTAAAAAGGTCACCCAATGACACATGACTTGGTGATTGGCCAATGCGAACAAACTTAGCTATATTTGATTGAGTTGATCCATGTCGAATGCCATAGAGCTAGCTAATAGCCTCTCCTGGCCACCTAATAGATGATTGAGTCAAGGCATAGTTACTTAAACTCATATTAAGCTAGTTTAGCCAAAGTCAAACTCAATTATAATGGAGTGACAAAATTTGTCTTTATTCCAATAAAGTTGGCTAACATACAATCTAATAATCACCTAATATATTAGTTTAGATATATATAATAATTTGTAGAAAAATATATTTCATGCATTTATATACATGGGCGGTGTCCATAATATTTTAAATCTCAAATTCTTAAATAATAGCTTATCTAATCTTACATTTGAGATCTTATCTAAACAATAAGATTTTAAGATACAATTAGGACGTTTAAATTGACATCCCAATCATATGGAATGTAAGCCAAAAGTTAGAACCACAATCAAGTGGTTATGGTGTGATCAACATATTAGCTTTTTGCTCATTATGTTTGCAATAATAATCCATGTACACTACTTATAGCCTTAGCATTAACTAGGTTTGGGTAGTATCTTAAGTATTGTAAGCTCTCTTTGAGTATCTCTTTTCACCATATAATTGTTGTAAACCCTATGATCTATAGAACCAATTTCTTCCATTAAGTATGTGTAATAAGTATGATATTTAATTCTCTTGTGGCCTTTACCACACAAAAAATTTATGAACCCCACAATCTTCTAAAATAAAATATTTTACCAAACATAAATTATTGTTCTAAAATATGTTAATAATATTCTTCCTACTTTAGATATAGTAAAGCTTAGATTCTTACGAATATAAGTTCACCCCTATAATCTTAAGGTGATAGGTCCCCATTTCACTTTGATTTAGCGTGTTCTCCATAAAAGTGTAAAAGCATCACATGCCTTTAGCGCATTATAGGCCTTATCATATCAGTTGTAGGTCACTGTCACTACCATTAGATAAAGTTTAAATCTTTGGAACAAAAGATCTTTTTTGTTATTGCATATTATGAATTTGATGCATATCATACCTTTTATATACATGTATTGTGTTATAATATATAACTTGCATTAATTTGCAAACCAAAATTTATCTACCAGTTGATAAAATATATCACTCTCATACATTTCATAGTATAATTATGCACCGCCCATTTCATGCATTTGCCTCCACCTGACAAATTTCAGTATTATCAATTGCTCTTGTTGCATATCCAAATCATTTTTGATCTGTCCTTGAAATCAAAGCCTAAGTAGGGAGTCTTAATTTGTGTTAATGAACAAAATTTGAATTCAACTAAAAATAATTTGATCTCCATAGAGACAAATTGAGTTGAATTTATTTATTAAATTGATTGAGAATCTCAACCTATCATTTTCATACAATATAATAAGTAGTCAAGCTCTATTGGGTTAGTACGAATTTAATATAAAAAAAAATGTGATGAGTCAATTTTTGCACTTTAATTTTTAATATAAAATATTTTTAATTGACTTGAGTTTTTTATTAGAGTGGTGGAAAACTCTCTCCTCAACAAATTTGGATTTATTGGTTTGATATAACTTTTTTGTATCTATAAAATGTCAGCATTAGTAGATACCGACTTTTTTCAAGTCTTTCGATTATGTGCTAGAAAATTTGAGTGGATATAGTGTGTGTTTTACATATCAGTATTGTACAAAAATTTAGCACACAGATAAAAATAGTAAGATCATTAAAAATTTATATGAAAACCCCAAAAAGAAAAAAAAATCATCGGGCCTTGCCCAAATGAAAATCAACTATATATCAGAAGATATAAGAAGCCTTCCTTCTTCATGGTTGAAGATGACTATTTGAGAATAAAATGTCTAATTTCTCTCATGGGGGTTAACAAAAATAAAGTGTTTACCAATGTACAATTAACACTCAATAGCGAAGCTTAATTTCCGCCATTAGGATAATATAAATCATTTGTCCATAGATGGACAACTATACCCAACAACAGGGTAAAATTTTGTTAGAATTCTAGAGATGATGGAGATTACTAATGGTGATAGCAGACAATGATGGTGGTTGTTGGTGACAATAGCTGGTGATCGTTGTCAATGGCTATAACTAAAAAGTACAAGAGAACTTTCTTGTTCTCTTCTTTCTGTCTCCCTCATGTGGAGAATAAGGCTCAAGTTATAGACTTTTTGGAATGGACATTTTTGATAATTTGAAATTAAATCCAAAACACAATCGTATGGTTTATATCGAATCCCTAGATCAAGAAGCATTTATTTAGTATTTAAGTGTCTTAATGATGTCAAAATTTAGTAATATTGGGCCGTTGGAATCGTCTCATCATGCCACTCGATTTAACTATAAGCATGTCGAATTTGAAGATCATTTGGTCATTCAATTAATATTTGAAGTTTTTAATTATGCTTCAAGTGTTTGATTTGGTATCATTTAGGCTTGAATTATAGCACTTTTAGTACTGTTGGGTTAATCTCATTGAGACGTTCAATTCAACTATAAAGCTTGCTCAAACTGGAGTTCGTATTAACCAGAATTTACTTCTTGAAGTTTTCAATTTAGATTTTGCCTCTATATTCATGTGGATCAATCCAATTTTTCATTGATATATCACTCTCAAATACTAAAAATAATTGGATCCTAATTCATGTATATTTATATTAAATAGATGATTTTATTATTATTATTTTATAATAGTAAGCAATTTTAGTAAATAAAGTAAACCATTAAAAATAAATAATAAACAATTTTAATGACTCATTATGTTAATTGCAAATAAAAAATTTATTTTAAAAAAATGATAGTCTAAAAATTAAAGATAAATACAATTAAGTTATTAAAAATTTAACATTTATAATTTTTATATGTTATGATTATATTTAAAAAAATTAATAATTAAATTATATTTAATAATTTCAAATAAGATCTCTTGTAATAAAATTAATCTCAGCATGGTAGTACGTATAGAATATAAAAAGAATATAATTTCCCACCAAAAAAAAGGTGCAAACCGATTCATTCAATCTCGAGATAGAGCCCTAATTTGATAATTTCATTACTGAAAGAAATGATGATTCATAGAAGCCCTTCGCTAACCGAAAAACCCTAATCGGCTAATCCCAAACAGAATAGTTTCCGCAATATGAAGCTAAAGAGACCCCCACTCCCTCAGAATTTCTCCACTACGTCGCCGTCCTCCGCTTCCACTCCGCTGATCATCTCCACCACCTCCTCCTCTATGCTCTCCGACTCCGAAGAACCTCGCCGATTCTTGAAGGCCGAAACCGCTCGGCCGCCGCCGCCCGATAGCAACGGCGAGAGGTGGTAGAGCGGCGGCGGAGGGCAGTAGTGCGCCGGCGAGGGGTTGGCGCCATAGAGTGTGGTCCCCGCTGCCACGGCCGAAGCTGCTGCTGCTGCTGACGTGGCGTACCCTGGTGGGACCCAGATGCCTCCTAGGACTACAAGTTGCGGCGCCATCGCTGGAGAGAGAGAGAGAGAGGACCTGCAGATGGCTTTTCACCTCATCATTGGTGAGCCCATCAACGTTCATTAGCTCTCTGATTTGCTTTGGAGTGGCAACTGTGGACAGAATTGATAACTCAATTGAGGAAGAGTAGTTAATCCAATGATCAGATTCATAATCTGCTTTAAATTTGAAGAATTAACCTTTTAATAGAAAAGAGCAACGTTACAGTGACACCATATTACACATAATTTCAATTTAATTAAAAGATAAATTTTTTATAAAATATAATTAGTTTTATTGAAAAATTTATGTTCAATAGTACTTCAATTTATTACCTTGAGACCCACCCAATATATGCAGGGCATTGACAAACCGCCGGTGCAACTCCGGTGACCAACATCTCCTCGCCTTCCTCTGAGTAGCCGCCGGTGCCACAACGTCGCTGGAAACACTACAACTTCCTTCTCGCTTACCCTGCTTCTCTTCACCTTCATTACTCTTACTACAGCTCTCCTTCTCCTCCATCTCCTTCTGAATAGAACGAGCCAAAGCAAGTTCAGAAATATCCTTTTTCTTCTGCTTTGAGAAAGGTTGAAATGCTCCTCCAATTCTTGGTTTAGCATCTAGTACCAGCTTAGAGCTGAAAGTCACCAATGAATGCTCCTCTTCCCCTTGCTTTGCAGAGTCGGCCTCATCAGCAGCCGGGCTGCTCCATAGCTGTGCCGACACCATCCAGTTCGCCATCTCAGATTCTTCGACGCTCGTCTTCTTCAATGGGATGAATTCTTCGAGCACTGGCTGAGCTTCTTGGCTTGCTTGGTATGTCTCCAATTGCTTCCTGTATGCCTCCATGGCTTTGCAAGGCGATGTGTTAGCATATTTTTGCTATGTTTCACAATTATTTGACAATTAAGCAAGATAGAAAGCAGAACCAAATGAAACCTTAGTTACCGTTGTTGAGTAGCTGCATGCAAAGTGGGAGCTCACGCTTGAAAGCTTCAATCTTGAGACTCTCCTCCTCAAGACGAGCAAGAAAATCTTGCAGCTTGTGCATGTGATCTGCAATTGGATTCTGATTTTGGTTAATAGAGTAGCTACTGATTAGCTTGTAATCCAAACTAATTAGCTCTGAAGAAGAAGAAGAAGCCATAAGAATGAAATGAAGCAAATAAAATAGTTGTTTTGGTTATCGTCTCCTATGAATGATGATTATGATGATCATGGAGTTGGTGTGATGAATGAAAAGAGGAGCCAAATGGATGAGAACGCAGAGGAAATTGAAGAAAGGATCCCCTTCTTTTATGTGTGAGTGGGAGGGAGGGAATAAAGTGAAGTTTGAAGAGAGGAAAAGGAAAAAGAAGTAATAAAAAGTAAAGAGATGGTAACTTCTTGCAGAGAACCAAGCTGAAAAAAAAAAGCCTGACTTGGTTTCTTATGAAGGGAATCAAGCTGCAATACACAGTCATGTGCTAGCTTGTAATGTTTTTTCAAGTAATCCTAATTATCTATTATCTAAAATTTAAGTTCATACCAAAGAAGTTACCAGGAATGAATAATATTACATTCTTAGTTCAAATTTTTTTTCTTTCTTAGTTCCATTTTTTTTTTAATTTTGAAAAATATTATTTTCAATATTTCGTAGAGAAACTCTCTTTGTAAATGCAAAATAATTTTGGAAACAAATTTGTAAAATATGTTTGAGGTCTTTTTCATAGAATTCCTTTCTCATATGTATATCAGATTTCAATCACAAAACTAGCATATTCTTATTTCCTTTTTGAGCCTTATCTTCTTTTCAAAGGCACATACTGAACCGTTCCCAACCTCTTCACCTTCACCATCTTCTCGCACTTGTCTTCTTTCTGTAAGGAAATATCTTGAGTGCAAAGCAATGACGAGATTCATGAAATTCAGCTTCTATGTACTTATCTAAAACTACTATGTAATACATAACATACTACCATCATTACACAATTTAGCACACCTTTCTCTACATGCCAAGCTATGATTAAATTCAAAGGATGCCACGATGTCAAAGTACTAAATAAATAAATTAACTATGCTGCTTTCATGATTAATCTATCAATAAGATGAGAAAGGAAGAAAAACATATATTTCTTTCACTTAACTCAAAACAAGCCCAACAAAATAAGCATAGATTCTCTCTCTCTCTCTCTCTCCCTCTTCCTCTCGCTCTCTTTCTCTCTAAAGCAAACAAAACAACTTGAAAATAAAGCAGAAGAGAAGCCTACTTTCCCCTACTGCGCTTGTTTTCAAAAGTTGCACATTAGCGCATATGGATATCTCTTCCATATGCAGGCCCCAGATAATTAGCGCATATGGATATCTCTTCCATATGCAGGCCTCAGATAAAAGACCAAGAATATTACTGCATAAGACTCCCCAAGTAAAGAATATCTTCTTTAACTTGTTAAACAAACTATTACTTCCTCTCTCTCTCTCTCTCTCTCTCTCTCTCTCTGCCTGATAATTATATCATTATACATTAATTTGTTTAGACTTGAAGATCTTTGTTCAAAATTAATTCAATTAAACTTAAAATTAATTAATCATATATATAATTACCTTTATGAATTAAAAAATTATAATTTTAGTAGTCTAAGCTTAACTTGTGGCAAAAATTTTTAGTTGACTTGATCTTCTGTCGGAGTTAAATATATATATATATATTTTTTAATTTAGGCTAACTCGTTGTGACTGCTTGATTTCTGTCCTAGTTATTTTTCTCTAACTCTAGCTTCTTAAAAGAAAAATGCAAAAGATAGAAAGGAGGGCAGTAGTAGGGAATCTCCCTGGCTCGTCTTCCTAGCTTTAGAGGAAGTGGGGAGGAAGGTAAGAAGATTCCACCATAGTAGCATAAAGAGATCTTAGTGCCACCTAGAGAGAGAATAAAGAAGAGGTAGAAAGAGAAATATGCGTTGATATTGCAGTGTAATAATGAGAGTTGATCACTTTCTTGTGCAGTCTTGAGGTACAATGCTCCAACCCAGGCCTTTTGTGTGGATTCTCTTCTTCACATGTGTAGCTTATATTCTCTTCTCTTTTCTTTGGTGAATATCCCTTTTGTCTGAAGCAAGATAGATGTGATTTTCCACTCAGTATGGGCCCTCGGCTCATAGAAAATTATTAGCTAAATATTACATCCATAGTTATATGAGAGAATTCTTTCCTCTGTTCCTCCTTTACCTGAATATTTAAATGAAAGTATCTGACTGTCTGCGTTCCTCTAGACGACAAAAGCATCAGCATTCTTTAATACTGCTCTCCTTCGATCCATTTGCTACTCTCTGAATCTAAGTGGTGATTTTTTTGAGAGGAGGCTTCTTTTTGATAAGGTTGTTGCCATTCAAAATATTTGGCTAAAAGGATGATAGCCAAGTTGTGTTTTAAAGTTCTGGAAGGTGATGTTGTTGATGAGCTTTGTTAGTTCATGAAGAGAATTTCAGTTATTTGATTGAAGTATTATACGTGTACGTATTCATGAAATTATTTTTAGATTATTCATGTTTGATTTTGGGTAGTTTGTGTGGACTAAGACTTCGTTTGAGACGGTTTTTTTACTGTTTCTTAAAACAGAGTTCCAATATAAAAATTTAAATTTTTTGTATTGGACCTCCATTTTAAGAAGCAATAAAAAGCGGTCTCAAACGAAGCCTAAATTGTACTTCTTAATTAGTTTCAATGTTATTTAGATTTTTTATAGTGGATTTGACGAAATCATGATTCAATTCATAAAATGGTCGATTGCAATAAAATTATTTAATTATGCTTGATTGTGGGAAAAATCTAGGTAGTTAGGTTGCACTAATTTTGATGATTGATTAGGCTTTTGAAATGATTTTCATTTAATGTGAACTGGTTGGATCTCCTAGTAAGATTTTTCTCTTAGGTTAAATAAGAGCTATTTATTGAGGGATAAAAGTGGTCTTGCTTGTTAGGTGTGTTATCCTCGTTGCTTGTATTATGTTTTTGTACATTCTTGGTTGTGAGACTTGTATTTTCAATATTCATTACTATTATATATATTATAGTAGAGTTTGTTAATTTTCATTGCGACCCCGACCTTAGGGACAATCTTTGAAAATAATGTTTTTGAAAATCAGGTCATATAAATTGCCCAACAATTCTAAGGAAACTTCCAATAAATTTCAACTCTAAACAAGCCCTACTTGGACTTCTAATTCTTTCGTAATAATTTAAATTCAACCTCAAAAAGGCATAGATCATTATTCACCTTTGATTCGGGATAAATGCACCATTCACCTCGTCCCAATCAATGCATAATCGATCCCATGAAGATTTAATTTGACCTCTTTCACACAGATTAATATCATCGGACAATACTCTGATAAATAATCTAGGAAAGGTCAAACATCATTAGTGGATTCTTTCGACCTCTTCCACATAGATTAACATCATTGAGCAACGTTCTGACAAACAACCTCGAATAGGTCAAACATCCTTGGTGGATTCTCCTGACCTTTTTCACACAGGTTAACGTTAGCAATGCTTTGACAAATAATCACGAATAGCTTAAACAATTTTAGTGGATTCTCCTAGCATTTTCCACACATGTTAACATCATCAAGTTATGCTTTAGCAAATAACCTTATCCATAGTATAAGTTAATGTCATCAAGCAACGCTGTGAAAAATAAATTCAAAAAGATCAAACATCCTTGGCAGATTTTATTGACCTCTTTTCTATTGCACGTTAAAGGATCTCCTTCAACTTCTTCTTAAAAAAAAAAAAAAAAGATTATAACCTAATCACCATCAAGCCTCCACTCAATTGGCACTGTTAGTATGTAACCAAACTACTTGCATGCTACACTAATTTGACCCCTTCCATCAAAGGGGTATGATATTTGCCCCCATCAATATGGATGCATATATTGCCTTTAGTATAGTACAACTTAACCACTGCCATCATCGACCCTTCGCCTGATATCCGTCATTGATCCTTCAACTCATATAAGCCATCATTGACCTCTCGTTTAATTACTACTAGAAGCACACCATCCAATTCTCTCCTTCAACTCATTGCCCGGCCATGAGCTGCAATCAAACTTCCACCCAACCCTCGATTGCCACTGGACTTTAGCTCAACCTTCATAAAAATTCCACCCATTTGCTGACAGTCACTGGTTCTCCTCCTGGGTGTTATTACACTGAAATCTTTTCAAACCACCCCCTCATGTGATAGGTGATTGACCTTTTTCTGTCATGGGCAGTTTATTGAGAGAATAAACTCTCATCGAGACTTCTTCTACACGAAGAAAGGCACTGAAGCTTGATATGGGATATCGCCTATAAAAAGTGGAATGCATATAATATGAGAAGAAGTCTGACAAGGAAGGTGGAAGGAGATGAAATTTTCTTTTACCCATAGAATGGCACTGAAGCTGGATAACGGATGTCGTCTATCTAAAAACAATGAAAAGCTTCTAATATATAAAAACTATTGAGGGAGAAGGTTCCTTCTATACAAAGTAGAGCCCAAAAACTTAATAGGGGATTCCACAAATGCAACATATGAGAGGGCCTCTGTTGTAGAAAAGAAAAAGAAAAAGAGAGGAAGTGCAAGTTGTGTATACCCACAGGGGTGGGGGAGTCATGTAAGTTGCACAAATTTTTATTTTTTGGAGTTAAAAAAATAATTAATTAATTAGCTAAACTGCATCCAATTGGTTGCAATTAGCTACTGTTGGGCGCATGTAGCTATGATATTGATTAATCGCAGGCAAGCGAGGTAAGCCAGAAAACAAAGCATGCTCACAAGCAGGCCCAAATAGGCCAAAGCATGGGTTAGGCAGACCAGGCGAGCCAGCGCACAGGCGGGCTAGCATACTAGACAATGCTCGGGTGGCATGTCAGTAATCTAGTTATGCATACCATGCTCACAAGCAGGCCATGCAATGCTCATGGGCCGCTCAGCCTACGCAATAGGTCTATTAGTGGTTTGTCGGCAGTAGTGGCAATAGCAGGTAGCCGACCGATTTTGCTGCCAAATCATATTTCAACCTTTTTTTTCTTTTGCTTTGATAGTCTCATTCAGGAATTTTTATTGCGTCAGGTTACCTGACGTAGAGATACATCAGGTAGTCTATAATATATCGCCACGTGTTCTTACTCTTTACCGCGCGGACCGACGACCCAACCCGGAACGAATATGCGCGGTATTTGCTCGGTATTGCTAGGTACTACTCGGTATTGATCGGTATTGCTCGGTATGCTCGATATTTGCTCGGGATAGGAAGCAAAAACGGGATCCCGCTCGCTGTGGAGATAACCTTCACTAATGGGGAGGACATTGCCCGACTGAAGCACCACGCCGGACCGGACGCCTGCTCGGATTTGGAGATCAAAGACAGTCGAGGTGAAGAATGGCGAGTCGCGGAGAAGATAATCAATCTGATGTTTGTCAAAGGTCAGGAGCTGCTTCCTAGAAACATGTATGCCACCTTGGCCGGGAGCGATGACCACCGCGGGAATCCGGTCGGCAGGAAGCTACGAAGTTTGATCGGAGGCAAAAACGGGATCCCGCTTGAACTCTACTCGTGGCCGTTCGACTTTTCTCCATTGACGACTTTTCCTTTCCACCGGATCGCAAGCAACGAAGTTTGATCGGAGGCAAAAACGAGCAAGTACCGAGGAAATACCGAGCAAGTACCGAGCAAATACCGAGCAATACCGAGAATTACCAAGCACGAAACCGAGCATTACCGAGCAAACACCGAGCATTACCGAGCAAGTACCGAGCAAATACCGAGCAATACCAAGCAAATAACGAGTAGTACCTAGCAATACCGAGCAAAAACTGAGCAATACGCCAACATAGTAATTCTTGATTCGTTCTGGGTTGGGTCGTCGGGCCGCGCGGTAAAGAGTAAGAGCACGTGGCAATATATTATAGGCTACCTGATGTATCTCTACGTCAGGTAACCTGAGGCAATAAAAATTCCTGATTCAGATTGTTTGGGTCCTCAAAATCATTTGTCAATATTTTAGACTCAATTTTAGCACTTTTAGAGCTTAATTGAGCCTCTACAATCAATTTTGAATAATTTTCAGATGTAATTTCTCAATAATCTTTGCTCTAGTCAACACATCAACTTTAGGACACTGTAAAATCATAATTAAGGATATTGTACTTAACTCACATACAACCCCAAAGGGAGGTCCACATTGATGTCTAGAGAGTGGTAGCGCATTGCAATCATCCAAAAATCATAATTTCATAATTGGGACAGATTGAAATGCTCTGATGTATTTTTTTTATTCAGTTAATTTTGATGTCTAAAAATAAAGGGGGGTAATAGATATATCATCAAAAAAATTTCTTGATCAAACATGAATCTTGTTATAGAGCCATCCGAACTCTTACTTTAGCAAATTTATTGTTGAACTAAACATCAAAGATAAATCTAATGAGTCTAAGATCGCTGAATTCTAACATCATTTTGGCACTCAAATGCTTGATAAATTATCCATACTAAAGGGAGATGATATCAACTATCCATTAGAATTGCTCCCAACTTACCCTTAATCTTCAACCTATTTACTGGCCATTCCATTTCCAACAAAATTATAAATAACCCCTCATTTCTTCACATGAAGGGGGATAAAAGAAGAGAGAAAAAGAAGAAAAATATGAGATCTCTCTTTCCACCAAACTCTTCCTCGACCACATATTATCGTCAGACTTCTGTTTTTTTTTTTGGGACATTTAGGCCATTTAAGGCAAACTCACACACGCAACACATACACATAGACTCGAACCTTGGACCTCTTAGTTGGAAGCCTAAGCTCTCAACCAATAGGCCAAGGAGAGTTGTGTTCAGACTTCTGCTCGGTCACATTTCCTCGTCAAACTTTCACCTGACCACTAGCTATTACCAGACTTTTGCCAGACACCAACATCCCCATCCCACGACGGTCCTTCTAACCTTCGTCGCTCACCGACTATTGTCCTCCTGACCATCCTCACTAGACTACAGTCTCCCTCATTGTCGTCGCCCGACAATAATCTTTTCAGACCACTGTCATCTAACTACATTCTTTTCAACCTCCATTGCCCACCAAATACGATCCTTCTAAACACCATCACATGATTACGATTTTTTTAACCTTCGTCACTCGCTGACTATGGTCCTTCCGACCACCGTCAGCTGACTATATTCTTTTCGATCTCCGTCGCTCTCTAGACTACTGTCCTTCTGACCATTGTCTCCCGACTACGATATTTTAAAACTTTGTCGCGTGCCGACTATAGTCTCTTCAACAAACATCTCCAGACTATGGTCTCCATGACCGTCATCACCCGACTACGGCCCTTTCGACCACCATCACATGACTACAACTTTTTCGACCTCCTTTGCACGTCGATTATGGTCCTTCCATCCATCGTCACCTGACTATGGTCTTTTTGACCTCCATCGCCCACTGACTACGGTCTTTCTAACAATCACCACCCAATTATGATCTTTCAGACATCTGTCACCCGCTAACTATAGTCCTTCTAACCACTGTCACCTAACTACAATCTTTCTGACCTCCGTCACAAGTCGACTACAAACTTTTTGACCACTGCCATCCAACTAAGATCTTTTCGACCTCTATCGCCCAATGATTATAGTCTTTTCGACTACCATCACCCAACTATGGTCATTCTAACCTCCATCACCCATCGACTATGGTCCTTCCGACCATCATCCTCCTGACTATAATCTTTTTGATATTTGTTGGCCATTGACTATGGTTCTTTTGACCACCATTACATGACTACAGTTATTCCAAACTTTGTTGCTCGTTAACTAAGGTCCTTCCGATCACCCTCGCCCGAACATGATCTTTTCGACCTTTATTGCTTGACTACGATCCTTTCGACATCTGTTGCACGACTATGATAATTCTAAATGTTGTGAAAATCTGACCGAACAACGAACCAGTAAAATGAGAGGATCACGGTTCAACCGGTCGAATCGGGGTTGAATCGGATGACATAATAAATCATAATATTATAAAAAATTAATAAAATTAACATAATAATAATTCCAATTTAATCTAAAAAATTTTATAATTCTAAGAATTTTGAGACTAAAAATAAATAAAATTCATACATATATAATATATTACATAATTTTAAAATTAAATATAAATAATTATTATATTTATATGTTATATTTAAATATAAATAATTACTAATTTTAAATTTAAATTTAAATATCTTCAATCTTTAATTTTAATTTATATT